ATCCATCTTAACAAGCCTGTATCTTTCCCAGCTCTGCCCTCTGTCATTGCCAAGTTTCTTGAAATAATTCCCTATAAACACTATCTCCATTCTCTCATCTTCTACTCACTGCGTATATATTTCCTTTGCAGATTTTATCAGAGTAACTCATGTAAATAGTTTTAGAAGTCCGGTAGTCCTACAGGCTCATTACAAAAAATACTCATCTCTGATGCACCCCTCCTTTTCACATCTGATCCTTGCTGTTCAGAGGCAACAACTCCCAACTTTTAGCTTTTTCTCCTGGTATTTGCACCTACACACTTAAACATCACATTCGTATTACATTGCTATTCATAGATTTTTAACAAAAGACCTTAAATGAATCTTTTATTGGGCTAAATAATATTGCAAGACTCAAAATAGCTTCTTGTCCCAATTTTGCCTCCAAAAAGACTTAATAATTTATATGTATCCAGTATCATGTGGAATGAATTTTTCAAAACAAAACAAATTTTTAAAATTCAAATCTCATCAGTTAACTTAATTTTTAGCAGCAATTATTAAATAAAATGAAAAAGAAATTCTCTAATAGCAAATTACACAAGCCCAAGAGAGAATTATCCACGCCTATTACCCTAGTGTCTTAGAACATAATTTATCTAGCAATTGGTTTGCAAATTTTAAAATCAACTGCATTAAGACATGACAGCACATTTGCTGTTAACTCCTACTTGTGTCTTAAGAAAGCTCTTATTGAAAGAAAAAAAGTTTCACAGGTAGTGGGTGCAGACTGGTGATTTAGGAAATTGGCAACTAAAAATCAGTCTTTATTAGCATTGCCAGCCACAGCTGCAGTGAAGTATGGAATGTTCTTCAACATGCTCCAAGTCCATGAACTGGCACGTCAGAATTCTTCCTTTTCTTTTTTGCAAAGCAGCATACTAGCAGAGTTTTCTGAATATGCACCTTCCTCTTCATCAGCTCTGTGGTGGGGACACCATCAGGCTCAGCCTGTGGTGTTGTTGCTGATCTCCTCTTCCTCCTCCTCCTTTTTTTTCCTCAAAAATTTTATTGTGGCAAAACATGCATAACCTAAAATTCACCATTTTAACCTTTTGAAGTGTACAGTTCAGTGGCATTAAGTGCATGTGCATGGTTGTACAACCTTTGCTGGGGACTTCTTCCTGAGTCCCCCTCCTAGAATCACCACACTCGGGCCCTGTTTTGCATCCGTGCTGTCCAGGTACTTGAAACGTGGGTAGGGGCAGACGTCTGATGCTACAGTTTGGTCTTGCTGCTCATACCCTTCCAGAAGCTGTTCTAGAGCAGCACAGCTCTAACCTCCATGGGCCCCTGGTGTGCTAGACTTTCCCCTGCAGCCATGTAGTCATTTCTGAATAGGTGAACTAAGACTTGAACAACTGTCTTCTCATAACCAGGTGAATAAATCTTAATGTCCTTATAACTGTTTTCTTTTCTGAATAGAGTGCTGCCTGATCAATTCTTGTGCCAGCAATCTAGAGGCTTTCCCTAAGCATTCAACTGCTGTTGAAGTGGTCCTCATTTTCAAACATGTTGGCTGTTGATAGTATTGTGCAGTCTTTTCCAGATCTAATTTTCTATGAGCTTTCCAGCTAGTTCCAGGGCCTGCTGTGCTGGGAATGCCGTTCTCATGAGTGGGGGGAGGGGCAGAGGAGAGAATCTTCAAGCAGACTCCTCACCGAGCAGGAAGCCTGACATGGGGCTGGATCTCATGACCCATGAGATCATGACCTGAGCCGAAGCCAAAAGTGAGCCACCCAGGCGCCCCCACCAGTTGGTAGTTTCTGCATGTCCTTCAACATTATGCCTGTTGCTCAGAAGCTTTGTTTTTCCATATTCAGAAGTGGCACTGTCATAATCTGGCTTCCATGAAAAAAAGCAGTTTTCAGGTGTATCTCCGCTTTGATAAGATGTTGATTTCTCTTTTGAGCCACGTTTCCACAGTCTGTCCCTCACGTGAAGGGCAAGAGAGCCTCTTCCTCTTGGGCCCTGAAAGAGCCCTAGTTAGTGATTCATAGATTTGTTTGTTTGCTTGTTTCCGATGTTATCTATTTACTTATTCGCTGTCTTTCTCCCTGACTTGAATATAAGCATCATACCTATATTTTACCACTATGTCCCATGCCTGGAATGCCACATGCCTTACAGAAGCTTCTTTTTTTTTTTTTTTAAAGATTTATTTATTTATTTATTTGTGAGAGAGAGAATGAGAGACAGAGAGCATGAGAGGGAGGAGGGTCAGAGGGAGAAGCAGACTCCCTGCCGAGCAGGGAGCCCGATGCGGGACTCGATCCCGGGACTCCAGGATCATGACCTGAGCCGAAGGCAGTCGCCTAACCAACTGAGCCACCCAGGCGCCCGCCTTACAGAAGCTTCTTAAGGAATATTTTTGAATGAATGAATGAGAAGTACTGGACACAGAGAATGCCTATCAGAGAGAAACTTAGATCAGTCTCCTAGATTCTTCTCTAATCCATTCCCACTGCTACCATTGCTCTAGCACTTTATACTAAAAATTAAATAAAGGAAAGAAAGACATCATCCCAAGGATCTTCCCCTACCGTTTCCCTGTGTCTCTTTATTGAGAGAATTTTTACTTACTGCTAACACATTAGTTCTGACCTTGACTGCCTAAAGAGAGCCTGCAACATCTGGCCTCATCCCAAATTTACAGACTGACTGGCCTTCATTTCATGATAACAACCCATGGGCTCTCTTCAGGAAGGGACAGTATGCTGCAAGTCCCAAAGGGTGAAGGGGGATTTGCACTTGAGGGTCTCTGCTCAAGTGCCCTCCCATTTTGGTGTGACCTACTCCTTATTTCCACTTAGCTAAGGGAATACTGCTGGGGAGATCTGTCCACATGACCTCTATGTTTTCAAACAACACATTTTCTCCTTCATCTGAGCTCCAATAATCCTTAGTGTTAGAGAGATGATATGCAGTTTCTATTTGTGTTGCCTCCTTAGCATGGGTTAAATAAGAAGATTCACCTAGGCAAATAGAGGACAAAATCCCCACAAAAATGAAAAAAACTGAGAACCCTGATTAGTAAAATTCTGAAGAAAGAAGAAAATACAGAGGTGATTGATCAAATGATTCATTCATTCGACAGAACAATTGAGTCAGCAGTCATGCCCCTGGCATCTGCATAAAAAGAAAAAAAAAAAAAGTAAGAGGAGAGAACTACCATAGCTGCGCCCTATAAGGTACATGCTTCCACATGCAGGGTTAACTACAGTCTGGGTACCATAGTTCTGCTGACTCAACAGAAACAAGAATGACAGGTATGTGCAAGGCTCCTAATTAAATATAAAAAAGTGTACAAGTGGGGGGCGCCTGGCTGGCTTGCTCAGTACAGCAGTCAGTGGAGTGTGCAACTCTTTTCTTTTTTAGGACTTCATTTATATGAGAGAGAGAAAGAGAGAGGGCACGAGCAGGGGAAGGGGCAGAGGGTGAGAAAGAAGCAGACGCCCTGCTGAGCACAGAGTCCACACAGGGTTCAATCTCAGGTCCCTGGGATCATGACCTGAGCTGAAGTTAGACACTTAACCAACTGAGCCACCCAGGTGCCCCAAGTGTGTGACTCTTGATCTCGGGGTTGTGAGTTCAAGCCCCACATTCGACATAGAGATTACTTAAAAAAAAATCTTTAAAAGAAATACAAAAGTGAGTGTTATTATTCCTGAATAAAAATTAATGTACTTTAGGGAGGATTATCGCTCCTGGGCCCACCGCAACCTTTGAGCCCTCCACGTCCTTGATCACAGCTTCTGGGCACACTACCAAGACAACCACAGCCTCAGGGGCCACTGCAGAGTATGTCTCTACAATGGACTCCTCCACAGGCCTCAGAGCAACTCGACCTTTCAGACCATCTCAGTCTCCACCACAGCCTCTGAGGCTACCACACCCTCCACCACAGAATCTGTACCTACCATGACCTCTAACATAGCCTCTGATGCCACTACAGTTTCCACTAAAGCCCTTGTGGCAGTTGCTAAGTCTGTGCTCTCCTCAGGCACTCCCAATAACTGCCGAGACCACCACAACATCTGTGTCCACCACAGCCTCTGAGAGCACCGCTTCCTCCATGATGACATTTGTACCCACCATAGTCTTCACTATGACCTCTGAAATCACCACAGATCCTAGGGCCACCGTAGATTTCACTGCAGCTTCAAAAACCACTGCAGAATCTGTATCCACCACAGGCTCTGAGATCACCATGCCCTCCACATCAATATCTATGCCCACAATGGCCTCCTTCTCTGCCTCTGAAATCTCCATAAGCTTGGACACCACCATAGCTTCTACTACAGCCCCTGCGATCATCACACCTTCCACTACAATGTCTGTGCCAACCACTTTCTGCAACACTGCCTCTGAGGCCACCCCAGTCTCTGAATCCACTGTGCTCTTCGTCACAGTCTCTGAGATCACCAAACCATGTCTCCCATAATAATGCCTGGGCCCATGACTACCCCCAAAATAAGCTCTAAGATCACAAGAGCCTCTAATACCACCATGGCCTCCTCCACCAATGCTGAGAACACTTTTGTTTCCACTGAAGCTTTGGAGAGCGCTCTGGCCACTACAACAGCCTCAGAGATGACTAGAGTTTCCATTAAAGCCTCTGTCACAACTGTAGAGTCCGTGCCTTCCACAACTGCTGAAAGACCTGTTAAAACCACCACAGCATCTGTGCCCACCACATTCTTCCATAGCCTCTGAAGCCATCACAGGCCTCTGAGATCACCAAAGATTCTGACTCCACTATGGTCCCTCCCACCACTTCTAATACCACCAGATCCTCCACCATAGCATCTCTACCCATGACAGTCTCTACTACAGCCTTTGAGTCCACTGTGGCCTTCAGCATAGTCCCTGAGACCACCACATTTTCCACAATAATATCTCTGCTCCTCATAGCTTCTACCACAGGCTCTAAGAACACAATAGCCTCTGAGACCACCATGGTCTCCACCATCACTGCTGGGACCACTATCATCTCCATTGAGGCTTCTGAGATCACTCTGGGTTCTTCCTTAACATCTGTACCCACCATACTCATCACTGCAGCCTCTGAGACCACCAGTGCTCCCAGCACAGCTTCTGAGATAATCACATCCTCCACCACAATGTCCATTCCAACCACAGCCTTCAGCATAGCCTCTGAAATCACCATAAGTTCTTCAACTATCCCAGTCTCTGAAATAACTTCTGAGGCCCTCAAGTCCAGCATTACAGCATCTGTGCCAATGACAGCCTCTATCCCAGACTTTGAGGCCTCTGGGGCCTCTACCAAGGTCTCTGAGACCACCATGGCTTCCACAATTATATGTGGGCCCACAACAGTCTCTAAGAATACAGTTTTTGAGACTACTATGGCCTCCACCACCACCTCTCTGAGACCACCATGGCATCTACCATCACTGCTGAGACCACTAAGATCTGGACTGATCTCTCTGACAGCACTGTGGCTTTGACCATAGCCTCTGAGGCAATGACAGAATCTACTAAAGTCTTTGTGACACTTGGAGAATCTGTGACCTCCACAATAATTCCAGCATCTGCAGACACCCTGACTGTCTCAACCAGCTTCTAAGACCCCCATAGTTTCCTTCTCGGCATCTGGGCCTACCATATTTTCTTCCACAGATTCTGGGGACACCAAAGCTTCCACCTCACCTTCTGGACCCACCACAGCCTCAGAGGTCACCGCATCTTTTTTTTTTTTTTTTTTTTTTTTTTTTTTTAGAGGTCACCACATCTTTAGTTTTGGCCTCATCACCCACCTTGGCCTCTACCTCTGCCTCAGGGGTCCCCAGAGTCTCTATCAGGGTCTCTGGACCTTTCACGGTCTCTTCCATCACCTTGGTGCCCATCAAGGCCATTGACTTTTCTACTCAGTCCATCACCAACACAGCTGTATCAGGTACTGACCACCATGTCTTCTCTAAGCACACACACCTACCTCCAGTGTCAACCATCACCTTTTTGCCTGTTTCTGTCATTTCTGCTCTAGACTCTAGTCAAGCCATCACTCCTGTTGGATATACTTCTGTTCTCTCTTCTTGAATCCTATTTATTTCTACTCTGGTCTCACCTTCTTTTGCTCAGGGTCCATCATTTCCAACCCAATCAGAAACACTTCTTTGCAAGTTTCTCCCCCCGTCCCCAACACACAAGTTAATTATATTCCATCACTTCTGCCTAGAGGGAACTCACCGTAACTCTGTGACAAACACCCTAATTTGTCAGATACTGTCATTTCCGAGCCAAGCACAATCAGCTCTGTTCCACCCACCACCTGTGACACTGCCATCCCATCTTCAATATATTGAGCCCTGGTCCAGGGACTACAAACTACACTTCATGGGCCAAATCTGGCCTGTTACCTGTTTTCCCAAATGAGGTGTTATTGGAACACAGCCACATGTACTCCTTTATATCTATAGCTGCTCTCCAGCTACTTTGCATACTTGTGGCAGAGACTTTGTGACCCAACCAGCTTAAAAATTTACCATCTGATGACCCTTTACCAACCCTTGCTCCAAGTTTGGTTAAGACCAAAAAATGACTTTTTTCATCTCTGGCACATGCTCCGAATAAAACCACCTCTGCACTTGCCATCAGCTCTCATGTTGGATGTGATTCTACCCACTTTGTCCTGAGCTACCCAGTGCTATTCCAGTGACTGACACTGTTCTTGTATCAGTGTAACCACTTCCAGTCTAAGCACAACCCTTTTGCTGCTGATGCCACCTGCTCTATGTATTAGGTCCTCCCGCCTTGTTCTGAGTCCAGCCTCTCCTTCCCTAGGGCCAGCTCCTCTCTGTGGTCAGGTTCTTCCACATATGTTCTGAGCACACTCACCTCACCTTTGTTGACCACCATGATTGTGTTAGATTATGTCACCTGTGCTCCCAGCCGTGGCCACTGTCTCACCCTCAGTAAATCTGCTCCCATCATCCCTTCCTCTAGCAATGTCCTTATACCTTAAATGTGAGTACACTATAAGAATATCAGACCCTATCTCTTATCCCAGCCTACCCTCCCTATTTGGCTGATCACTTCTAAAATTGAATAAATCCATCTCAGTCACGTTTCCTCAATCTGAGTCTCCACCATCACCAGCACCACCAGTGGACATAGCCTACCTCCTCTTCTCTAAGACACTCACCTCTCTCTGAGGTTTCAGGGGAATCACTTTCCACCATCTCTCCTCCCACCACAACAGCTCTTCTCAAACCACCACCACCATTAGTGTGTGAGATCAACCCCTCTGCTCTAAGTACACCTGCCTCCTCGTCAATTATTGTCACTATAAATGCATCATATCGTGTGATCTGTTCCCTAGGCACCAGGACCACTGGAACCAGACCAAGCACCCCCATGTCTGTCACCATGGCCCCTGCAATGGACTCCATATCCCCTGCTACCAGGAATATTGTCCCTGAGATGGACCCAAAGACCTCGGACCTGGGCACATCCACTTTTGGAGCACCATCTATCAGCTCTGTTCCAAATACCAGGAACACCAGGATGAGATCTACCCAGGAGCCAACCACCACTCCTGGAAGCAGTACACTTCACATAAAATAGACTCAGTCACCACGGGCACGGACACAGTTACCATGAGCCAAATGCCAACATGGGACGAAGGCAAGTAGATATTTGCAGCCCTGGGGCATCATCCTCATCTCTCTGTCTGTAATTGTGGTGGGTACTGGTGTTAGTGGGACTGAGCTTTTGCCTGGCAAGTTACTGTGAGTAGAGATGGAGGAACTAATTACATGATGGATCATGAGTAGGAATAGAATAATGAGAATAGGACCACTAGGATGTTCAGAACAAGAGAGCAGTGTGTGGAGAGTCACATACATCCTAGCCCAGTCAACATCAGAGCATCAGGAGCATACCTCTAGCCTCACAAATCAGCTTTATCAGCTCATTGCAACAGGAGAGACTGTACACCACAGTCAGACTAAGGAGCTTTGTACCAAACTAAGGAAAAGAGTCATTATAGTGTTGGGGGAGTGTGGAGTTTTGGTTAAAAGCAGCAGAGTTAAAAGTTTTGGTTAAATGCAGCAGAGTTAGAAGTTAAATGCAGCAGAGTATTAGTAAGCTTACAACAAAGCAGGATGAGTACAAGGGTCAACAGGAGCTCCAGAATGTGAAGTGGACTCAGTTTCCTTGGAGATAACAAAGTTACACTAGATGGGGAGTGCTGTTATAGTTGACCATTGAACAACGTGGAGGTTAGGGGCACTGACATCCCTCACAGTCAAAAATCTGTGTAATTTGTGTCTCCCCAAAAACTTAACTACTAATAGCCTACTGTTGACTGGAAGTCTTACCAATAACAAACAATTGATTAACACATATTTTGTATGTTATATGTATTATACTGTATTCTTACAATAAAGTAAGCTAGAGAAAAGAAAATGTTATTAAGAAAATTCTAGGGGTGCCTGGGTGGTTCAGTCAGTTAAGCGTCTGCCTTTGGCTCAGGTCATGATCCCGGGGTCCTGGGATCAGGCCTGCATTGGGTTCCCTGCTCAGCAGGGATCCTGCTTCTCCCTCTCCCCTCCCCCCCCCCCGCTTGTGCTCTGCCCCTCTTTCGCGCGTGCTCTCTCTCAAATAAACAAAAATTTTTAAAAATCTTAAAAAAAGAAAATTCTAAGGAAGAGAAAATACATTTACAGTATTATACTGTATTTATTGAAAAACTTCAGTGTATAAGTGGACCCGCAGAGTTTGAACCCATGTTGCTCAAGGGTCTACTGTATTCAGAAACTCTTATCTGCCCTTGGGTTGGAAACTGAAGCTGCTTCTCTGTGTTCAAGTAACTTAGATTCTCCAGACAAGAATAGGATATTTGCTTCTTATGAATATAATTTCAAACAGGAAACTTGTGATAGTCTATCAGTTTAGAGAATCACATTTTTCATTGACAAAATCACTGAGTGAGTAAGTCACTGAAAGAAGGGAGCTGTTATGAAGGTTTACAACTGCAGTGTGTCTTTGGGGAAAATATTTTCCTGTGAACCTTGCGGCTGGCTTTACCCATGTTGTCATCCCAGCCTGAGGAATGGCAGTGCAGACCGTTACTTTCTCAGTCTGGTTTTTACTTTCTCACATAGCATGATATAAAGACCACAAAAGAGAGAAAGACAGAAATCCTGACTACGGAGTTGATTGGTGAGAGGTACACAACGGGCATTTGGCAAACACCAGCTGGCAGCCTGATCTTCACTGATCTGTTGTTCGTCCTTCCTCCCTTCCTCCCTCCCTCACTTCCTTCCTTTTTTGAGGTAAAATTGACATATAATATGATAGTAATTTCAGGTGTCCAACATAATGTTTCGATATTTGTATACATTGGGAAATGATCACCACACTAAGTGTAGTTAATATCTGTCTAGGTCTGTAGCTTCAAATCATACAAACTAGGTAGACAGGAAACCATCTTAGAACCACTCATTGTTTTCCAGGTCTCCTTCATCTTTGGGAAGATCCTTCTTCCCTCCTTCTTTGTCTCTTCCAAATGCCATGTGACAATAAGGAGAAAATTACTGGGATGTGGTACAAATTGAAACCCTAAAATACACTGGCCACTATATATATATATGTTTTTATGTTTTTCTTTTTGTTTTTTCCTTTGCCCTTTATAATTGCATGCTTACTATGTGCCAAACACCATGTAGTGCTTTTAAATACACCATCATTTTTTTCTCAAACCAATCCAGTGAGAACTTAAATTTCTGGCTCTATGATGCTCTAGGTGTGTTGACTTAAAATACCCTGAAAAACTTAAAATGGTGGACTAATATATCTTTTTTTGTTTGATTATATATGGATTTCATTGATTAAATCAGCTTTAATAACCAGGGCATCCATCTTCTCTAAAACGCCTTATAATACACAATGTTGTCAACTTATAGGCAGTACTTGAATGGGAATGGATGACTATAGATGACTTTTTAAAATATCTTCTTAAATGAGTCAATGAGTTGGTGGAAAAGTAAGGAATGCTAGAATTAAAGACTTAGCTAAGGTAGGAATCCAAGGAGGTAAGAGGAGTACTAAAGTCAACATTTGCCAAACCCAGTGAACTTAATCTTCAAGCAGTACAGCCTCAGTCAGACCAGCGTGGGTGGGGGCTCTTGCAGTAGACCCTCCCATAAATCTGAAACCTTCAGGGAGAGTGTAAGCTAAAAATAAACACACTCTTCCTCTAAGGAAGTGAAAGCAAAATTACCTGTTTCTAAACTTTGTAAAGGGGAAGGGAGGAGAGAGGGAAGTATCTCTTGAGAAATGACTTGTAACCACAACAATATTTTACATGGTTTGCAGTTCCAAATCATGGGTTATTCAAAAGACCTCAAGCCTATCATTTAATTTATGAGAATCCTCAAATGGTAATGCATCCATATCCTTGGCCAAAACATGCAAATTCTCTGTGGGAGATCATGCCCTCATCTTAGGCTTCAAAGTACTTCTACAGATAACATCACAAGAAAAATAAACTCAGCCATAAACCTCTAGTAAAACCATCTCAGTCATAAAGCATCAGTGAAAGCCAGCAAGAAACAAAACACAAAACAGCAGGATCAGATCCACAAAAACTGGAGGTACTGGAATTATTAAATACAGAATATAAAGCAAGTAGGTTTAAATGTGTGTCATAGCTTTCTGATTGCCCACTAATATCCATTCTCCATCTTTAACAATCATATTCTCAAGTTGTAGTCAAGCACATGCCCCCTCGGCTACTCACCATATTCTCCAGTCTCTCAGCTTATTTTGGCTGTATGACTATGTTCTGGCTTATGGTGTGTAAGCAGATAACAATAATCTCTCATGAAATTAAAAACCAAGACAGAATTAAAACACTTGATAAGATTAGGGTATGGGGGCGCCTGGGTGGCTCAGTTGGTTAAGCGACTGCCTTCAGCTCAGGTCATGATCTCAGGGTCCTGGGATCGAGCCCCTCATCGGGCTCCCTGCTCGGCGGGAAGCCTGCTTCTCCCTCTCCCACTCCCCCTGCTTGTGTTCCCTCTCTCGCTGTGACTCTCTCTGTCAAATAAATAAATAAAATCTTAAAAAAAAAAAAAGATTAGGGTATGAGTTGGGAATTGGGTAGTAATTATTAAAGTTCCAAGGTTCTTGTGCTGTTTTGAAGGACAGTAAAGATACTAATTACATATAGTCTCTGATAAGTATGCATGCAAAAAAATTTTAGGATTATGTCTAGAAGGTGGAATCTGGACTTGAATTCAGGACCTCTGCCTCCAAATAATTCTAGAGGGAAAAAGAGAAAAAAGGATTTCTTAGAGTGCTTTTGGCCTGTCAGCCATAAAATGCAATTGCTAGGAGTCTAAAGCCCAGCCAGTCATTGAATGGTTCCTCACACTTCAGCCTCAGGAACTGCTTCAGCCTCACAGCCACTAGGCAGATCTGCATCAGCCTTTTCCAGCACACTCCATCCCCTCCTGACTCTCAGACTCACTCATAACTTCCTTCATGTCTCCAGCTACCTCCTGCTTCTTTCAAACAGGTCTTAAATGTCAGGAATACTCATTCACCCACAAATAAACTATCTGAGATAAACTATCTGCTTCTTCCACAAAGCTTCTCATTAACAGTAATGAAAACAGCTGACTTTGGTCACACAGACTGTGCACTGAAACTCCCATCTATCAACCCCCTGGCCCTGACCACAAGATGCCTTCCCCATGAACTCCCAAAACCCTCTGCTCATTTGGGTCTGCTCAGTCTTACTTGTTTAATTGACTGTGTGTCCTTTGCTGTTACATCCTTGTCCAGACCAGCATGAAGTTTCTAGAGGACTCAGACTGTATATCTCCCTCCCCCAACAGACTTGAAGTCTCCTAATATGTTATCTGTGGTATACCCTACTGAGAGATGTTTCATTAGGCTGATGAGAAGAAGCATCTGAAGGATTCCAGGGCAGAAAAGGTCCCACAGATTTCTCTGAAAACAAACAAGAGGGAAATTCCTATGCTGGAGGGTCAGAAGGGGACCCTATACCACCCCTTCACCAGCTAGGAGTCTGACAGATGGCTTCTTCTACACATTCAACACTCCCCATGCCCTCAGCCCTCATGCCCCAGAGACCCCAAAGATGCCTTCATCAACCCCTGGATCTCCCTTCCCCTCTTTATTCAGTGTGCATTGTTGAGTGCCTACTGCATACCCAGAAATGCTCCATCTGTCTTCTGCCTATAACCCAGAAGCCCAGACCCCTAGTTACTGCTCTCTTTTGAGTCTCCTATTTCCATTTGCTTCAGAGATGTAGGGTACCACCCACTTAGCTCACTTCATTAGGGCTTTTTCCTTACCAAAGCGGGCACACAGAACTTCTTGACCAGGAAACAAAGTCTTGCAGTAGAACAGGTTTCTGGCCCCATCCCTGCCTTAGAGGGTGGGTCCCTTCCACTCTGACAAATTTGATCTCCTCATACCGTTCGACTTCCTGCTCTGATCCAGCCAGTCCAGTGCCCTGCCTAGTGTGATCATGTCATTCTCCTTTCTCACCTTCCTCTTGACCCTAGTCTATTCCTTCTCAAGCTCAGTATTGTTTTTTAACTGCTCATAGTTGGCAGAAGAACAAGTCAACTTCCCAACTCCTCCCCAACACATATGAAGCTATAAAGGTCCCTGCAGCTCTTCCATAATAAAGAAAAAGGCAATAACATTGCATGGAGGAAGCTTAAGGAACCCAGGCTTCCAGTCTTCCACCCAAGCTCAAAGTTCTTCCCGAGAACAAGTACTTAGGAGACCCAAGCTCCTGGAAGCTCCAGTATTTATCTCTTCATCTTGAACTCTCCTTTTTCAAGAATCCTGTTCTTTGCCTTCTAGATCTTGGTCACAGCTGGGATTCGGGCATCATACTTTCCAACAATGAGGCAGATAAAGATGCAGAAACTTCTCCTTAAGTATTGGTTACTATTGCATCTCCTACTTTTAGAAACTGGTAAGTGATTTCCCTTAAAAGTGGGTGATCTGAGAACCTTCAAGGTGCTTTGGGGGATGCTGACCACTGCTAGGACTAGCTCTTCCATAGAGTGGGGATCATTGTTTTACCCCAATCACTTCAGTCTAATTAGGTATCACCCAGGAGGCAGTCAGAGCACAGTGGTTAAAACTGTAGACTCTGGTCTCAGATTGCCTGTGTATGGATCATGGCTCCACTGTAACAGTGTGTGTGTACTTCGGGTGAATTGTTTAATTTCTCTGTGCCTCAGTTTCTGCATCTATAAAATGATAATAACCTGTGTGGTTGGCTGGGGGGTTAACTACTAAGAACGGGAAGCGTTGACTGTGGTGTCATTCTTACTCTTGGTCATCTCAGTTTCTTCTTAGTTTTATTCATGATTCTGATCTTAACGCCTATTTGTACCACACAGCTGATATGGGGGCCTTTCAAAATAGAGCTAAAACTCTAATCCTATGTTAGTTCAATTAGGCCCAAGGAAAAAATACACGTGTGTGGAATGAATTGATAGGCACTCATGTTCCAGTTAGTGGTAAAAGGAGCCACAAATTAATTTTGGTTATCTGGGGGAGATTGAGTATCTTTGTCCTTCAGTGTTGTGAGGGGCAAAAAACAGACACAACCTTAACTCTGTCTGAGTCTCCAAGAAGGTTGAAAAAATTCCCTATACCTTACAGCCCTTTATCCTGGGAGATCTAAAACATTTAAGCTACATATGACTTGTGCTTCTCCAGCCTCTGCCATAGACATCAGGAGCCCCTGGAAATTGAAAGCATATAGACTCACCCAGCCCCTTGTTGAAAGGCCACATCTCAAAATCTGATTCATTTAATCTAGAATGGTTTGCCTTTATTATTAACAAGCTACTCAGACAATTCCGATGTAGATGTTTTCTGAGTAACACTGAAAAATATTTTCTTGGAAGGGAGCAACACTACTTTAAGAATGAATTAATCGATATATACTAGTTTCACAGGGCTTTGCAATTCCTTTATAATACTTCTTATCTGTATTGGATCTTATATAGTAGAATATGGAATAAGCTTACTACCAGTGGAACCAGGTTATGTAACCCTGGTATTGGGGCTGGGTGGGGAAGGCAATTTAGCATGGTAACTGAAAGTGCACATCCAGTACCCTAAGTAAAAATTCCTGCTCTACCACTTACTATCTGCATAAATAAGGGCAAATATTAACATTTCTAAGCCTCAGTTTCTTCATCTTAGCTGTTGATAATAATAGTAGCTAGTTCATAGGGCTGTAGTGAGCATCAAATAGAATTACCCATGTAATGAATTTAAACAAGCATTAAACCAGAAAGTACTTATGCTCCTTATATGTTTGTCATCATTTATGATTATCAGCAGGTGAAACATCCACATCAGGCAAGACTGAACACAGCATAACTTCTAGTGGGACCACTACAACCTCTAACACTAAATCCAGCACAATCTCTGGAGGGACCAGCACACTTGTCAACACTGGACTCAGCACAGCCTCTGGTGGAACAAGTATAGTTTCCAACACTGGATCTAGTGTGACCTCTAGGGGAACCAATACAGCCTCCAGTACTGGATCCAGCACAACCTCTGGAGGGACCAGCACAGCTGCCAATACCGGATCCAGCACATCTGGTGGGACCAGTACAGCCTCCAACACTGAATCCAGTGTGATCTCCAGTGGGCCCAGCACAACCTCCAATACTGAATCTAGCACAACCTCTGGAGGGACCAGCACCCCTGTCAACATTAGATCCAGCACAACCTCCAGAGGTAGTAGCACACCTATGAACACTGGATCCAGTGAAACCTCAGGTGGGACCAGTATAGCCTCCAGCACTAGATTCAGTACAACTTCCGGTGGGACCAGCATAGTCTCTAGGACTGGATCCAGCACAACCTCCAGTGGGACCAGCACAGCTACCAACCCTGGATCCAGTGTGATCTCCAGCAGGACCAGTGTAGCTTCCAACACTGGATCTAGTGGGACTTCCAGTGGGACCAGCACAGCTGTTAACACTGGATCCAGTGTGACTTCCAGCAGGACCAGCACAGCTGCCAACACTGCATCCAATGCAATCACAGGAGGCTCTAGCACACATTCTCTAACTGGAACACACACAACTTCCAATAGGATTGGCATGAGCGCTACCACTCCAGTGAATCATGTGACACCCAGTGGGTCCCTGAAACCATGGGAAATCTTCCTCATTACTCTGGTCTCAGTTGTAGTGGCTGTGGGATTCTTTGCTGGGCTCTTCATCTGTGTGGTGAGTGCCTAATATGTAGGAAAGTGTCTGGGGGAAGGAGTAGCAGGAACATAAGGAAATGGGGTATGAATAGTAGGGCCACCAAGTTGGGGGGTGGGTAGGAAGGAAGGAAAGATCAGGAGAATGTTACTAAAGAGAAGTAGCAAGTTAGAACTGGAAGAGTCAATCAGTGTGCTGAGGGAACTATTGACTTGTGGGAAAAGAAGACCAAAAGAAGGAATAAAGTCTAGAGGAAGGAGTACTAGGTGAAGGAGGTGATATGAAGGGGAAGAAGATTCCAGAAGGACTCCATGTTAAGGCTCGGGACAAGGGGATATGATTCTGAAATGATTCGCCCTTCTTTTTCTAGAGAAATTCCCTGACCCTGAGAAACGTCTTTGACACAGCTGTCTACCATCCCCATGGCCCCAACCTTGGCATGGGCCCTGGAGGGAATCACGGAGTCCACCACAGGCCTAGCTGGAGCTCTAACCGGTTCTGGAGGAGACCAGTATCCTCAATAGCTATGGAGATGAGAAGGGGATACAATGGGCCCTGAATGGCCCCTGAAGCCAGAGTGCCACCTTCTTCAAGGAGAAAACCAACCTGGGAGACCAGAGACCTGAGTGTCCTTTCATTTGTCCCCAGGGGTCCCCTCCCAGCTTTATTTGGGTCTCTGACAGCCCTGGGGAAGACACTCCCTGTCTCTTGCTTTTACTAAACTGTGGAAAGAGGAGACTCTATTGGTCATTTAGCTAAGAAATAAACACAAACAAAATATATGACAGAATCTGTGTATGCACATGAGTGAATGTCTACAGCGCCGAGTTGAATTTCCCTGTTATATGAGAGAACCTCCATGCCGGAACCCACTTGGCATTCAAAATCTCCACAGTAAAATCCAGAGATTTCATTCCTACCTGTCCCCTTTCTCTAATCCTTCTTGCCCCAAGCAGGAACACTGTGTTTTTGAGACTGACTAGATTGATAGGGGAATTGAATTAGGAGAGATGAGAAGGGAGGGCAGGTGCCAGGATTCTACAGGCTCACTGCTTAGGCCTGTGGTACACAGAGATTATGTCATGGTACATAGAGAACCCAGAGCATGATGAGGCAGACAGGTGCAATTACATGTGCCATGGGGCAGGGCATGTTCACTCTAAATCATAGTTTCTTGGGCATTTACATTTGCTCTAGACCTGGCCTACTTGTCAGAATAGAGGTGCAATTTGACACTTTTCTCTCTCACAGTGCTCCTTTCAGAAGCAGGAAGAGAGTTTCCTTTTACCAAGGAAAGACTTTCTGGCTTTAACCCTTCTGGCCAAGGTCTAATCTTTCAAGAGGCTCATAGCAGAGACACCTGTGGTAAAGCCTGTGATTCTCATGAGTCCCCTCCCAGAAGGGCTGAACATCTCTTTCATGGGTGCAGGGGTGAGGCCTACCTGTTCCTACAGGTCTTGAAGGACAGAGGGGAGCTACTTTGGAAGGTTGAGTTGCTCCAAATCCACAAGGCAGTGAGAGAAATCCCATCGAGGACAGAGCCCTCAGACAGGATTAGTAGTTTGTTGGGGGATTCACCCCAACTTGTAGCAGTGGAAACTGCTCTGCCTTCCGATACTTACTGGGCTTCTCTAGTGTGAGCAAATCAGTTGATCCTAATCAATGAGGCTATGCTAAGCCCTATGCAGGCCCATCATCATCACCATTTCACTTAAAGGGATTCAGCACCAGAAGGAAAAGCTGAGTTGAGCAGCCTGAAAAGGTGCCTCCCAGTGGTGTAAACAGTGGAAAGCATACTGTGAAAGTCAGGCAAGGGAATCCATTTAGATAATTAAAAATTGTAAACATGAATTTTCAAGTTTAAAATTGTAATAGATAGGGCACCTGGGTGGCTCAGTTGGTTAAGCGACTGCCTTCAGCTCAGGTCATGATCCTGGAGTCCCAGGATCGAGTCCTGCATCAGGCTCCCTGCTTGGCAGGGAGCCTGCTTCTCCCTCTGACCCTACCCCCCCTTGTGCTCTCTCAAATAAATAAATAAAATAAAATCTTTAAAATTGTAAGATAAATGGAAAGAGGCTGGCCACTGTTGTGATAAAATTAGTAACCTGGAAGAGCAAGCGGGAAAAATAGCTTAATTTTACAAAACAATACAGAGATGAAAATCGCCCAGAAAATAGAAGTCACTTGGAGAATAAATTCAGGAAGACTAACATGCAAGTAATAAGGTTCAAAACAGAGAAAAAACAAAGAGATGGATGAGAGGAAGTAAAAGAACTATAGAGAAGGTTTGAATCTGCATAGTGAAAGGGTTCACCAACTACAGCTCTGTAAATATAATAAAAATCATTGACATCTATATTTTTAAAGAATTTATCTATTTAAGAGAGAGCGCAGAGAGAGAGAGAGCATGGGTGGGGGGAGTGGCAGGGGGAGAGGGAAAAGCAGGCTCCCTGCTGAGCAGGGAGCCCTACAGAGCTCCATCACAGGACACTGGGATCATGACCTGAGCTGAAGGCAGACGCTTAACCAACTGAGCCAGCCAGGCACCCCCACTGGCATCTATTTTAAACAAATGAACCATAAGGTATGTACATTCTATTTCAATAAAGTTACTAAAATAGGGCGCCTGAGTGGCTCAGTTGGTTAAGCGACTGCCTTCGGCTCAGGTCATGATCCTGGAGTCCCGGGATCGAGTCCCACATCGGGCTCCCTGCTCAGCAAGGAGTCTGCTTCTCCCTCTGACCCTCCTCCCTCTCATGCTCTCTGTCTCTCATTCTCTATGTCTCAAATAAATAAATAAAATCTTAAAAAAAAAAAGTTACTAAAATATTATTACCAGGCATATCATTTAAATAAAAGTTTTGATTTCCAAAGATAAGCAACAAATGACTCAAAGCAATGAGCACTTCAACATAGAGGAAGATGGAAAGGCAAAAAAGTACAGTAAACAATTTAGCTTGTGATTAATTCACATGGTTAGGCTGTGAGTATCTTGCTACTCCCAGCAACTGGAGTGTATGTGTAGTTTGGAAGCATCATTACTTAATTTTCATCACGGAATACACTTACATGGACCACACATGTTTTAACTTGACAAAGTCACAGCTCACCAAGCATATTTGATCCAAGCAAAGTCTAAGAAGTGGACAAAATTGGGGCGCCTGGGTGGCTCAGTCGTTAAGCATCTGCCTTCGGCTCAGGTCATGATCCCGGGGTCCTGGGATCGAGCCCCACATCAGGCTCCCTGCTTGGCAGGAAGCCTGTTTCTCCCTCTCCCTCTACCCCTGCTTGTGTTCCCTCTTTCATCGTGTCTCTCTCTCTGTCAAATAAATAAATAAAATCTTAAAAAAAAAAAAAAAGAAGTGGACAAAATTAGTGCTGCCCCTCTCCAGATCCCATGCTTTTGCACTGTTGGTCTAACACAACAATCTTTGAATGGAGTTTGTCCCATATCCTTGGAGGTACATGAAGACTTTCTAAGAATATTATGCAGGTATTGGATATTTTACAGAATCATTTTTAAGATCCTCATCCTTTGCCTAAAACTGATCTGTCTGAGAAGACCTCTGTGGTCAGAGCATCAGGCTAGTTAGACTTTTCTTTTTTTTTTTTTTTTAAGATTTTATTTATTTGTGAGAGAGAGAATGAGAGATAGAGAGCATGATAGGGAGGAGGGTCAGAGGGAGAAGCAGACTCCCTGCTGAGCAGGGAGCCTGATGTGGGACTCGATCCCAGGACTCCAGGATCATGACCTGAGCCGAAGGCAGTTGCTTAACTAACTGAGCCACCCAGGCGCCCTAGTTAGACTTTTCTAATTCACAATTTACCGCCACCCACCTTTTTCTTTCTAGCTCCCATATTATTATGGGGTGCATTTCTCTGGGTCTCAGTTGGCTCATCTGTAAAAATGAGGATGATATAGTACCCATTTCATGAGGTTGCATGCACTTCATGAGTGTCTTTGTAGCACTATAAATTTTGTTATTGTTTTTTATATTGGGTAAGTTAATGTTTCATATTTTCCTGAAAATATGGAAAATAATTGCATCAGAAAAACTTCTTCATTTACCACCAAAGGGTTATTGGCAACTGTGAAATTTAACCCTTAGAGTCTTACATGTCACAGGAAATTTTTAAAATGTTTATCAACATTTCTTTTGATATAATCAGCACCACAGAAATACGAACAATTGTAAGAGAATATTATTAAAGATTATATGCCAACAGATTGGACAGCCTAGAAGAAATGGATAAATTCCCAGAAACATATAACCTACCAAAACTGAAGCAGGAAGAAATAGAAAAGTGGAACAGACTGTTTACCAGCAATAAATTGATTCAGTAATCAAAAATCTCCCAATAAACAAAAGTATAGGACCAGACAGCTTCACAGGTGAATTCTACCAAACACTTAAAGAGTTAATATCTATTCTTCTCAAACTATTTCAAAAAATAGAAGAAGGAAGACTTCCAAATTCATTCTATGGGGACACCATTACCCTGATAACAAAACCAGATAAAGACACCACACAAAAAAGAGAACTATAGGTCAATAGCCCCAATGAACACAGATGCAAAAATCTTCAATGAAATACTAGCAAACCAAATCCGACATTTAAATCATACATTTAAAAATCATACATTTAAAAAAACATTAACCACGATTTCAAGTGGGATTTATTCCCAGGATGTAAGGGTGGTTCAGTTTTTGCAAATCAATCAACATAATACACCACATTAATAAGAGAAAGGATAAAAAACTATATGATCATTTCAATAGATGCAGAAAAAGCATTTGACAAAGTACAACATCCATTCATGATAAAAACCCTTAACAAGGCAGGTTTGGAGGGAACATACCTCAACATAATAAAGGCCTTATATGAAAAACCCACAGCAAACATCATACACAATGGGGAAAAACTGAGAGCTTTTCCCCGAGATCAGGAACAAGACAGGGATAACCACTCTCACCACTTTTATTCAACATAGTACTGGAAGTCCTAGCCACAGCAATCAGACAACAAAAAGAAATAAAAGGCATCAAAATCAGTAAGGAAGAAATAAAACTTTCACTATTTGCAGATGACATGACACTATATGTAGAAACCACTAAAGACTCCACCAAAAAACTGCTAGAACTGATAAATGAATTCAATAAAGTCACAGGATACAAAATCAGTGTGCAGAAACCTGTTGCATTTCTATACACTAATAATGAAGCAGCAGGAAGAGAAATTAAGAAAACAATCCCATTTACAATTACACCAAAAATAATAAGGTACCTAGGAATAAACTTAACCAAAGAGGTAAAAGACCTGTATTCTGAAAACTATAAAACACTGATGAAAGAAACTGAAAATGGTACAAAGAAATGGAAAGACATTCCATGCTCATGATTGGAAGAAAAAATATTGTTAAAATGTCTATACTACCCAAAGCAATCTACACATTTAATGCAATCTATCAAAATACCAATAGCATTTTTCACAGAAATAGAACAAAGAATCCTAAAATTGTATGGAACCACAAAAGACCCTGAATAGCCAAAGCAACCCTGAAAAAGAAAAGCAAAGCTGGAGATATCACAATTCCTGACTTCAAGTTATATTACAAAGCTATAGTAATCAAAACAGTATGGTACTGGTTGATCTATTGGTATATATGGTACACAGATCAATAGAGCAGAGTAGAAAACCCAGAAATAAAACTACAAGTATATGGCC